AGAATGAATCATGTTTCTGTGGTGTTACTTTAGTGAAGGGACAGATTTGGGCCTTGATAAGTGTAAGGAGGCCAAGAATGAAACAAAGGGGTGTTCCAGAAGGAACTATTGTGCCCGGAAAAGGTGAGCTTGAGGTGCAGGCTAGCAGGAGAGGGGAGCCTTGTATAAAGAAATGGGACAGAATCTCACCTATCTATCTTCTCTTCCCAGCACTGGCTTTTGAGTTCTCATCTTCCCTTTACCAGTAATTTCTCAGGACTCTCGCCTGGTTTCTCATTAACTCAGGGTTCCCAGACAAACTCAACTTTGTGCTACGCCTCTTTAGCCAATCTATCCTTTCTTCCTGCTGCTTTTGACTTCCCCGCTTCTATGAATCTCTTTCCAGAGAACTCCTTCTAATTCATTATCAATGTTGACAAAGCACAGAGATCCTAGGAACAAATGGCCCTCTTCATTCCTCCCCCTGCCACACCTTTCTGTATCTGCCATGAACAGTGGCTCAGCCTTTATAACTCAGATGGTTCGTCACTTCCTCCAAGGAAGTCTTCCCTGGCTGCTCGGCCCCCAGTACATTTCCCTTATATACGTCACACTTTTTCATCCCCATCTTTGAAGACAGGGACTGTGCTTCTTCATCTTTATGTGCCCAGCATCTATGATAGTGCCTGGTACACAGTCGGTATTCAATAAGGTTTAGTAGAATTGTTCAAGTGTTAAAACATTTTAGAAGGGAGCACATTGCTTTCTACTTAAAGGGTTTCACCAGTCCCCCAATATCTTCTCTAAGAGTCTCTAAATCCTCAGGGCTACATTTCAGGCTTTTGCAATATAACCCATATCTTCCATACCCCCTGCCCTTAGGGTATATAGACAACAACAAGAGTAACCTTGCAGGTATTTCTCCAGGATATTCCGAGCTTCTACATCTGTGCTTTTGCTTGGTCTCAGACCTTCTTATCCACTGCCTACTAATAATTTGCCAAAATGTTGCCCATCTTTCTAAGGTCATCCCAAAGGCCCTTTCTCAGAGGCAGCATTTTCTGATCCCTAATACAGCTCTTCCTCCAAACACCACCGAGCATCAATAGCATTGTTGGTATCTGGTACCATCACTGTCACCCCCACCACCACCACCACAGCCAGCATTGCACAGTAATTGGACCTCTCCTGTAGACTGCTTTTTAAAACACTGAATTAGAGCTTTTTGCCCTGTGCATTAAATGAAAGTCTCATGAATTAAATATAAATAGGCTATTGTTAAAGTAATAGACTATTGTTTTTCATCATTCTCTATCAGTTTGAGGTAGGAGAAAGCCAATGTTTTTGCACCCACCAGGGCATCTCGTCTGGCTCCTGACACCCAGGATCCTCTAATTTAACACCAACTTTAAGGAACATCAGAGAACGAATGGTGAGCTAGACCCTGCTTCTCCCAATAGCTTCACCAATATGCTTCCTCCAGTATTGCCTCCCACCCCAATGGCAGACTGCTCTGTCTCTTTGTCATTTCCCCAGAGACTTTCCCTAACTACCATATCTAACCTAGTTCCAGCCTATTCTTCTCTTCCTGTTCATTTTCTCCATAGCCCTGGTCCTATCGTAATGTATAGGCTTAGTGTCCATTTGCTTTTGTAATGCCCTTTTCCCCCACAGGTCTATAAGCTCCGTGAGGGAACAGATTATGACCCTTTCTACTAAAACAGCCATTTCTTTCTTTCTAATTTCAGATTAATATGAGGGTATAAATTCGAGGGTATAATTTCAATTCTAAGGAAATAAAGTTTAAGCTGTAGTTGAACCCTTCACCCAGGCGGGGTGCTGAACACTCTCACATTATGCACATTTGGTGAGATCCCCCCAACTGCCCTCCTCCCTCTCCCCTACCGTAATTCCTCCCTTCCCCTTAAGAGTCATTTCTTACATAACCATTTGTTTATTATACATTTTGGAAATATTCTCTCCATGTCTGCTATTCATTTTTTAACTCTAAATATTCGATGGCCAAATCTGTTCATTTTTCCATCATGGTTTTGCAGTTCCTGTTAGGTGTATTTTTAATTACTTCCTTGGAATATGTTCCTAGAGGTGGGAAAAAATGAATAGGCTTCTCTTTAAGGATCTTGATATACTTCATCAAATTGCCCACCCCCACCCTCTGGCAAAAGCATGCTTTGCAATCTCAGAGCTCTACCTTATATTATTAGATTTAAATTATTAGATTTTGCCAGGAAACCCAGACAGAATTCATTTAATGCTAAGTAAGAGTGATCCTGAAAATTTCAGGAATCAAATGTCTCAGATGTCAATTTGCTGCAAGGGGACAGCTTTGATCACCACCTCCGTTAACACTGAATCATTTAATAGTTTTTTTATGGTTTACATTCTCTCAATGAATGCATGAATTTTTCAGATCCATTGTCCCCAAATAGTCTTTTTACTTCACCTCTACCCCAAGTGGATCACCTCCAAGGTCTGTGGTCGACCTGAGACATGCCATTCTCTTCCTAAGTCACTCTCTACTCATGGTAACACACAGTATCTTAGCCAACTGGGTAAATAACTTGACCTGATCTTTCCAGCCTAACTCCCCTAAGTGTTGCAAATTATAATAGCAGAAATGACACAGAGGAATACAATGCACTGTGAGAGCGTCTCGGTAAATATTATTGGATGAGATGACATGGAGACAGATTTTGGTGACCTCAGTTCACATTTAGCCCTCAGCTCATCTCTGGGAACATCACATGACTTCACCTGATCTTTAATCACCCCAGGGCACATAGGGTAGTAGTGCAGGGTAAGCCAGGCCAAGCACTCAGTGGACTTATGGAAATGGGACTTTCCTAAATTAGACCATTGCTTTTCCTCTACAGATCATAGTATAATTTTTGGTAACACACCTTTCTTTCCTATTCCATATCTCTCATGCAGTATAAAAAGCAAATGCATGTTTGTCTTTTACTTCTGTTCTTGGGATATAATCCAAGAAAAAGAAGGGATTTTTACCTTAAATTTACTTGCTTTATTAAAGAGTCATATATAGTTTTTTTGGCTTCCTCAACATATTTCTGTGCTTCATTGAGTAATATAAATATTTAATAAAGTATTCCAAGTGCAAAGTATAAATTATAGTTATATCAAAATCTTTGTACAAATGGGGATGCAGTTTAGAACTTGCCCATGTGCACACAACTGTTTCAGTTTAAGATAGGTGATTATACTATTGTGGGTTTTGGTGGGGTGTTGTTGGTTTTGTTTTACCCAAATTGTTGGAATCTGCAGTTGGATCATCCCTTAATGTTGAACAACACAATTCCCACCCCCATGACAGGAAGACTATGAACGTTTACTGTCTTCACAGAGCTGTTTCTCATAGGTCTGAGCAAAATACTTGGGCAAAAGGGAACTCACAAATCCTAGACAAGGGGGGAGATAGTATGACAGTTGATATGAGGCCTCCACATAGGCCACACAACTGAAAGAGGGTTTCCTGGGGCTGATTCAGATCCCTAATGATGATTGCAGATTTAAGAGGAACAAAATTCCTGTTTTATGAGACATCCAAGTAGAAAAGACAGATAGGCAGTTGATATAGGGGTCTGTCTCTTGAAGGACAGTTTGCACTAGAGACAGAAAATGGAAGTCAGTCCTGTGACTTGAGATCTTCTAGGGAAAGAGGGCAAAGAATCAGAGTGGAGCCAAGAATTAATCGCCTGTGACTTTCAGAGTTCTTCTTTTGCAAATAAATTCAAGGGCAGGAGGCCAAAGAGATCTTATATAACAAAGCACCATTTTAAGGCCCCATTAGTTCCCATTGCATTATATCTGTAACCAACTCTCTTCTTTCCAGCTTTCCCAAATGCTGCAGCTTCATTCCTTAGTTCCATTGGAATGTGAGGAGAGGAGAAGGAGGTTAGGATGAGACCTGTAAGACCCGGCAGTGTGTTTCAACCCTATCACCAATTAACAAATATTGAGGCGTGACAAAGCAGGGTAGGGAGCACTAGGATGCGTCAGACATGGTCCCTTGTCCTGACCTCTCTCAAGGGAGAGGGGGTCAGGAAGGGATAATATAAAAACATAAATAGCTATAGTGTAATGCCATGAACAAAGGCCATATTTGGAAGAAGTGGGGAGAAAGAATCCACGAAGACCTCTTGAGCAGTTTGTGGGGCCACTTGAGGATAGACTACAATGTCATGATTTTGAACAAGTACATTTTGTACAGAGGGACAGACTGAACAAATTCTCTCAGAGAAGAAACAGGAGAGTCAAACTGACAAATTAGGACCTTTTAAATTTTGTTTTTAATTAACAGAGTTAAACTAAAGGAAAGAATGTGTTGCTGAAGAGAAGCTGATGGCTTTTTATCACCGCCAGAAAAAGTGAATGTATCTGGGTAGCGCCTCAAATCTCAGCAGAAGGAACAAGCAGTTTAGCCTGGGAAAGAACGGGGCGGGGGGGG